GAAAATATAAACTGTGGTAAAAGCAACACAATTCAGACATCGGAATCACTGAATTTCCAAAAAACACCAGATAATCCATCTGATAACAGGAACACTCAGTCAGCATTTAGAATCCGGTTAACCAAATTGAATCACATAAATTAAATGAAAAGCACTCTCACTATCAACTTGATGTTCGCCAAAATGACCGCACTCAATTAAATATAAAACTGACGAATACATGGAAAAACTTGCGTTATTCCATTAAATCATCGTACTACAGATGCATACCTAAGAATAATCTGTCACTTTTCAAACAACCAACTAACAAATATTGTATTTACTGACTCCCTAACAGCTGAAATATACGAAAATTGATTCTCCAAAATACGAATCCATGGAATCAAATCCAAAGAACAGAGTAGAAACCTGAAGGGAGATAAGCTCTTGTGTGAGAGAGAGTAAACAAACGTGCTGACCTGTCAAGATCCCTCCTTCGTTGCCAACTACTCAGAAGTTGGCCTCCATATATTGAATTCTGTGAAACAATAACCAGACTTGATCAGCACAGTCCCCTTCTCTTTCGCTCCAACAGTCAGTCCACCATACTTGATATTATATGATACTGAAATCGAAATAAAGAACGCAGTGACAATGAGAAATGTAAGGCAGTGCGGACAGGCGTCAACTGAATAGATTTATTTCATCAACTGACCTATTCAAACGCAATCTTATCTCATCTGAATTGACGTTTACTCCTTCGCGAAATAAGTGAGGATTTCTGAAAGTAGGCATACGATTGTCAGTGGTATCCAGTTAAGCGAGATGAAGACCGATGTTACCAGAAATGTTCGTTAGCTCACAGCGCAACCCCAAACTTGAACAGTAGTTGCAAATTTTAACTGTTCTCCCACCAAAGCCAATATTTTTACAGTTGTCAACGTCTCAGTTTAGAATGCATGGATTCGTGACTAACGGATCATTAAATGTGAACTTCCGCTTGCAAATGATACGTCCAACAGTCACTTATACAATTAAATGTGTTACATTTACAAATTCTCTAGTTCATTCAAGTGCTGTTATCCCGTAATACGATGGGATTGACAATTACAACTGGTTCGAGGTGTGGTGACAAGTGTGCAACTGAATTCCTCAGTCTCATTGTCAATTATCCAATGCTCAATTCACTGTAATAAACACAAGTGATACGAGTGAATGAATCCGTATTTGCAGGTGGAAACACTTGGTATCTTATCCCACACATATGCTACAGACACACTTGCAAAAGAATAACACTGCTGAAAGGTGGTAGTCATTCCCCTCGAAACGATCAAAATATGTCTGTTGCACTTCTGTTGATCATATTAAAATCACCATTAATACTACTGTTGCGAATTTGAATATAATCCTGTGAGATTTTGTATTGCACTTCAGGCATGAGTGTATGCGTGTCTACTGCAGAACATAGATAGTCCTCTCATGAACGCCACAGTACTGAGCTAATGATGAGGTGACTGATGCAAAACTGAGTAGCAATAAATCAATCCATCTGACTGATCACCCCCAACAATATTTATTAACAACTTCTCAGATTTATTGTGAGTCTTCATTTAGACAAGATATGGAAGTGTGGTGAGAGCGGTCTACTAGCCAAGTGGTGGACAGTAATTGAGGTCAATGTTTATGTATCAAATGTTAGTCATGTTGTGGTGATAGATGGTTGCTGGCCAAATTGGTTGACAGTAATTGAGGTCAAGGGTCAAGGTGGACAGGCGGTTACAGTTAACATATAGATGAACTGACACAGCCACAGGAGATGCAAGGTTAACTTTGTACGAGAAACAACCAATCAACAGACTGTATTTTCTACTAACATTGACCTACAATAATGTACATAAAAATCTATAAATACGTGTTGATTTTTCGTAATAAACGATCTGTTGCCTGGCCCTTGTCTTCTGTTGTTACAGAAGGATAGCACAAGCCATAATAATGCCATTCTTGTGTGCCTGAAAAAGCAAATAAAGAAATATTTTCCAGTGGATATAACAAATAGTAAGTGATTGAAAATAATGAGAGTTGGGGGTGATAGATGCATCGACAAGTGCAGGGGCTCCCTCTCCATATTTCAATCAAAGTCATCAAGACACACACACATGAAGTTGTACTTTTCTAGACTGACGAATGTGTGTCGAGGAAGTGTGTCATTTATGCGGTTATATGAAACAAACACTTAACTGATATGATTACTAAGGTGCACCAAAAATTTGATTATCGGAAAGTGGCGTAAGAATGGAATATGACATTGAATTGGAGGTGAGATATGAATGTTGCTATGTAACTCACGTATTGAAACGATACTAGTGGTGAGTTGTACTGTGTGTGTGTCACGTATGTATATGAGTATAGATGTGGGTTAAATGTCAAACTGTGTGAGTAGTTATCAACTTTCTCACAAAAATCAAACATGTCAATCGCTTAGGTGATATGCTCATTTACGTCCCAAGATCGACTCACTTAGACAGATGCTTTGCCTTTAGCAGTGTGGACAAGAATTGGATCTTGATCTCATTTTAATGCATTTTTCACAATATCTTCGGAGAATATTTAGTAATTCCCTCCTACCAGTTTTTGACCTAGCTTGAAATCTGCTGAGTTTTGGCATACCAATAACTCCCATTTGGATTTAGGTTATATTTGTTGACACCAAGTTAACTTTTCACATTAAAAATTATTTAAATTAATCCCAGTGTGTTAAGAAAATCTTGTTTTGATTTTCTTAACACGCTGGGATTAATTTAAATAATTTATAATGAATCAGTCTGACTCGGCGCTCAAATTATTCCAGGAAGTTCGTCACACCTACGGCCTGGAAACCCATAATCTTAACCTTTCACAGCTTGAAATAATTCAGGCATCGATTATATTATATTCGTTATTATAGTAGTTTTTGTATTTCTTAATGAATGAAAAACAAAACTATGCTCTTTTTTTACTGATTTCTCAGTATCCAATGCCACTAAAAGCGTCGTCAAAATTTAATTCAGGAAGAAAACACGCTCCAACAAACATCTGGACTTCGAATCATCACACTCCATCAGTGCAAATGTATTAGTCGCCCTTTGATAACGGGGTGAGAAGGAAAATATAGGACACACATACAGTAAAGCAACCTTCTTTATGTAAATACCAAATTCCACATAATTTATAATTTAATTGTGCCTGTAAAACAGAATGCTTAGAATGTAATGCAACATACATCGGACAAACCTCATGAGAAATCAAGATCAGAACAAATGAACACTGTAGAGATGCCTCTATCCGATCACCAAGAAATCCAGTTTTGAACTAGAAAAGCTTGAAAAATCACTAACCATAGGTTTACACTCTGTAGTCAAATCAGGCCAGAAAATTGATTTCGATAATATTGAAATCATGAAGAAAGATTTCAGAACTCACTAATTTAGGTAGCACTTTGTATTAAATGAAGCCCAAATTGTCTGAATAGGAATAATGGACTAAGATAGATTTAGATAATCATCTCAAATTTTCATGTCATATTATGTCATTCTTATTCCTTCTCGCCCAGTTCATTTCACTGCACTATTGTTATTATAACTATTCACCAACCTTTGTAATTTACACTTAGCTTATCATATCTTTCCCATTTGGTTACAGTTCACAATTTAACGTCTTTATTTTGTCACTGGACTTGTTATCTATAAGCTCTTCAGCTCCCATTTATTGTAATTGTTTGTATGTATTTTGTGGTAATCGCATATATGCATATATATATATATCTCGAACTGTCAGGAGGTGGAACGCATGGACCATTGGGTTGAGTGCCACTGGCTGAATGGTTGCAAGCTCGCAGCTCACGATCTGTCCTGTAACTAATCACGCCTCTGCGCACCAACATCTAATTAGTAACCATCTTGAATATAACTCACATTCCCATCCAACTAAACTTATGTTCTGTTGACTACGAATTCATTCGTATATCACCAAGTTGTCTGTGAACATTTACTCTTGCTCTAATTGACTCTACATTTTATTTACATTTAACTGACAGTGGTAAGTAATGGGCTATCATTCCGTCTAATACACGTATCCAAAGGCAATTTCTGATATAATTTTCACTTGCCTTTATCAGCTGTTTGTGTCATACTTTTCCATAGGTTTGTAACAAGTTATCGGGAACAATTGTCTTCTCAAATGTCATCTTGTACTCAATACAGTTTAGGGAAATTTTACTTTACATAAAGAATGATGGAAAACCAATTCGATGTTTAAATGTGTGTGGGTTAATGCGACAGCGATGAAGATTAAAACACGACAAGCGATCCGTTAGATAAAGAATAGGAACACTCAGGTATTTAAATCCTAAATGCTTTGGAAGTGTTAAATAAATTAATTAAAGGAGATCTGAACACTATTGCTGAGGAAAGTATCAAAACCGGATCTTATTCCAGTACTGTTGGATTCCGTAATTGGCAGAGAGCTCATCAAGGCAAATCACTCCTAATTGAAGAAATGACATCACCATTTGTACAAGGGAGTGACAACCCACCAATTGACAGATTCGATTTATGTCACAGAGAAGGTCACTACACACAACCCTTTGCCTGGCATTTCACCCTCATTAATATTCATATAAATATGCATGGGTGGAATGCAAAACAAACCACCATTAATCAAAGCATAACCAGTGAGTTAAACAACAACATTCACAGCTCTCTGTCTCTCTTTTTCTCAAATCAATGTATCTTCTCATTATCACATCATTCTGCTGCCTGGAGATATGACCGCGTCTTACTCTGTGTGGTCGGTTTTCAAAAATATGTGAAGTGAGAAAAACCGCACTTTTGAATTACACTTACATCAATACCAATCCTCATCATTCTCACTCACCTAGAATATATTATGGTCCTTGTAACTCTCATTCACCCTCCATTTGTGATACCGTTTCATTTGCACACCAATGAAGGATGTCTCCTTATTTTATGCCTTCTCTGTTACAGGATTCCTAGAATGGCACAATTGTCGATGTTGTGCATTGTTATGGCCTGTGTCCTCCTACCACATCTCGTCGAAATGAAGACTGAGAAGAAATCCTGGAAACTCCCACTACATATTGATGGAGATGGTGAGTCAGATAGGTTGGTTCACTGTTCTTGTTGTTGTTGCTGTTTTTCGTTGTTCCTTTCTGAGTTGGTTGGCTCAATTTGTATGTCTGATCAAAGTGTGCATGTGAGGATTACATATTACCTAATTGTACAGATGCAGATACAGGGGGTGAAATCACGTGGTATGGCCATTGGAAAACAATGAAGTCAACATGGTTCATAGAGTTTTCATAAGGAAAGATGATCTTAGTATTATCGAAAATTACGTCGAGAATTCAAAATACACATTGAACACCTCCTCTCACTCCATTTTCACCTCGAATTCATCCATGATAAGTTAATAACCCATTGATGGAATGAAGCATTTTTGCTCAAGAACACCATCAGTTAGCGCATAGATGACATGTTGTTGTGTCGTTTGAGAGTGCATGTGCAAGTGTAGAGTGCACAGTGATTAGCTGACCACGATTTGCTGCAATCTGAATTGAGTAGATCACTTATTATTCTCACTGTCGTTCTCTCTCGCTCTCTGTCTCTGATTTCAGGATCATGGGGTATCAAGCATAGTGGATTGACTATTGGAGCGAAGGATAAGGGAGTCGTGATAATCAAGTCTGGTTATTGTGTCACTGAATTCGATCTGTCGAAACCGACTGCAGAGGAGTTGTCAGCGAAGAAGGGATCTCGACAGGTCACCACGTACGTTTTCACTCGATCACTCACTCACTCACTCATTTACTCTCTCACTCACACGCACATAATGAAATCCGTATCTTCTTGTGTGCATTTATTTCGTTTCTTTCGATGATACTATGCACAAATTTCATAGGGTCGTATTATCTAAACGTGTGTTATTTGACATGTTTTGTACATTTCATTTGTGAATCAGTTTGTCTCTCGATGTGCTTCAAACGTGTGCATTTGTGCTTCTAATGAAATTTGTCTTTCTATTTTTCAGTGTTTGTGACTTTCCTGATTTGAAGAAGAGTGGTAAGAAGGTTTAAGCGAAAAAGGAGTAGGATCGGCAGAATACTGAGAACTGGTAGATGTATTGTGTTGTTGTGTGTTTTGTGAATTCTGTCAATAAATTTCAGTCAGATTTGTGTTTGTTTTCTCTCTGATTTGGAAATGTGTTTGTGTGGTATTTGATGAATGCAAGTACTCCTCGCCTTGCAATGCATTGATGCTAATGCTCATAATATAAATATATATAAAATTGTTTCTTCCTTAAATTTACTGCTTACTGATGGCTTCTTCATGTCAAGTCAGCTAATTTAATAAGCATTTACTAAACATTTACTGGCTTCAAGTGCTTGGCCGTGATTTCGTGTAATCTTATTTGTCTGCGTATTAAGAAGACATTTCCTAAGATCTCGAACCTGTAAGAATGAAATATGAGGTATTTCTGGACAACTTTCAATTGTGTGAAAACATTTCGTTAGGCTGTTTCCGTTAAGACTGTTATCCTCAAATGTTGTGCGGATATTCTGTGTTATTCTCAGTGCTTTTTCTTCATCTTCTTCTGGTAATGTTGTACCTGACACTTGGGGAGGTATTAGAATTATCTCAACACCAAAATCATTTGTTAAATTCATACCCATTCTTATCACTTGCAATTTCTGAAAATAATGGAAAGATTGCGTTTACTCAAACTTGAAACTTTCTTGAATAGATACAGTGACTTTAATAGCAGAGTTACCATATGGACAGAGTAGATGTACTTGAGATGCTGCTGATTCGCTGCATCATAAAATTGCTTCCTGCTTTGACAAGACAGCTAAATATGTTCGATTTTCTTTCTCTGAACATAAATCCTCTTTCCACTCTGTTTTCAGATGTCTTTTGTTAAATAAGCTCTCCATAACACCCACTGATTCCTGACCTCTATACTGTTTGTACTCTAGTTTCTCAAAAAAAAAGGGTTATATTGTACATGAAGGTAAATCCTCCTCTACATTTCTCCCTGAATGCAATGTCTGTCAAGGTGCTGTTGTCTATCTTCTCTTTTTTTATTTATTTTTACACGAATTTCTTTGTTCGGAAGAAATCAACTTTGTTATATATGCTGACAACCTCACTGTTATGGCATACTAAAGATGATTCCGATCATGATGCTTTAGTACATCAACGTTTTCACATTCTCCTATGTGTTAACTCTGTACATGGTCAATTACGAACAACGTAAACCTAGTTTCTGTAAGCATGTAACATGTGAACATGGATTAGTTTTATAAACGTACAGTTAAGCTCAATATATAGGTGCTACACTGTCTCATCGTCAATTACTTCCCTAGCTGATTGTTTCAAAATGAATTGTCTTCCATCTCACGTTAGCCAGTGCTCTAAGCTTAATTGTTTTAGATTTAATTTCACATTCAAGAATTAACGTGACCTTAACGAGCTCATGAGTTCACACGAATCTTGTAGCATAGAGGGAACTGATATACAGGCTAAGTCAAGCATAAACTACTATGAAATAGTTCTATCCTCTGACCTTTCTCGGTCATCCTGTATCCTGTCTATTCCTAAGTAAATGCTCCAGCTGACGTTCTACATTAAGAAGTCAAGACAATCAGGAATCACTCAACCTCTAATTTTTACGATTTATTATCTCTGACATCTTACCTGTTGTTTTTGTTGCTCACCTTTGTCTTACCTGGGCTACTCAGAAAGGGTTGTTATTTGTGAAGGGTATAAAATGTAGTCATTGGGTGGTGTACCAACACTAAGTCAGCTCGCTACTATTGTAGTCGACATACACCTGAACTCATGTGAGAAATGGTCGAAATCTAAATTCTTTGACTCACAACACCCCTCTATTCACTATTCTGCTCGCCTCGATTCCCCTCAGGTGGGACTAGAAATCATTATAAAAGTTCAAGCGCCCACTCATACAAACAAGTATAAGAACTCGTGTTCTATGTGATAGAGATAGTGATGATGATGATGATGATACGTCGAACAGTCACTTATACACACTTAAATGTGTCACATTTACATATTCTCTAGTTCATTCAAATGCTGTTATCCCGTAATATGACTGGATTGACAACTACAACTGGATTGATGTGTAGCGACAAGTTTACAACTGGATTCCTTAGTCTCATTGTCAATTAACCGATTCTCATTCCACTGTAATGAACACAAGTGATCCGAGTGAGAGAATCTGTATTTGCAGGTGAAAACACTTGGTATCTTCTCCCACACATACGCCACACACACACACACTTGCAAAAGAAACACACTGCTGAAATGTGGTAATCATTTCCCTCGAATCGATCAAAGTATGTCTGTTGCACTTCTGTTGATCATATTAAAATCATCATCAATATTACTGTTGTGAATTTCAGTATAATCCTGTGTGATTTTGTATTGCATTTAAGGCATGAGTGCATACGTCTGTACCATAGAACATGGACAATCCTCTTATGAACGCAGTAGTACTGAGCAAATGATGAGGTGACTGATGCAAAGCTGAGTATCAATAAATCAATCCAACTGACTCACCATCCCCAACAATATTTATTGGCAACTTCTCAGATTTATTGTGAGTCCTCATTTAGACGAGATGTGGAAGAATAGTACAAGCCATAATAATGCCATTCTTGAGTGCCTGAAAAAGCAAATGCATCAAATAAATAAATACTTCCCAGTGGATTCTAGCTAACAGGATATAACCAATAGAAATTGATTGAAAATTATAAGAGTTGGGGGTGATAGATACATCGACAAGTGCAGGGGCTCCTGCTTCATATTTCAATCAAAATCGCCAAGACACACACACAGGGAGTTGTACCTTTCTAGAATGACGAATGTGTGTAGGGGAACTGTGTCATTTATGCGGTTGTGTCAAACAAACACTTAACTGATATGATTACTAAGGTGCACCAAAAATTTGATTATCGGAAAGTGGCGTAAGAATGGAATATGACATTGAATTGGAGGTGAGATATGAATGTTGCTATGTAACTCACGTATTGAAACGATACTAGTGGTGAGTTGTACTGTGTGTGTGTCACGTATTTATATGATTATAGATTTAAGCAAAATGTCAAACTGTGTGAGTAGTTATCAACTTTGTCACACAAATCAAACATGTTAATCGGTAAAGTGATATGCTCATGTACGTCTCAAGATACCATTCTACAAACTGGGATCGACTCACTTAGACAGATGCGTTGCCTTTAGCAGCGTGGACAAGAATTGGATCTTGATCTCATTTTAATGCATTTTACACAATATCTTCAGAGAATATTTAATCATTCGCGCCTACGAATTCTTGACCTAACTTGAAATCTGTCGAGTTTTAGCAAACAAACAACTCCCATTTGGATTTAGGTAATATGTGTTCAGACCAAGTTAACTTTTCACAGTTTCAAACAATTTGGGCATCAGTTATATTATATTCGTAATTATAAAAGTTTTTGTATTTCCCAAAGAATGAAAAACAAAACGATGCTCCTTTTTTACTGTCGTTTCAGTATTAAATGCCACTAAAAGCTTCATCAAAATTTAATTCAGGAAAAAAACACTCTTCAACAAATATCTGGAATTTGAATCATCACACTCCATCAGTGTGAAGGTATTAGTCGCCTTAAGTCTTCTTAGAATGGCACACCCTTTGATAACGAGGGTGAGAAGGAAAATATAGGAGACACATACAGCAAAGCAACCTTGTTTATGTAAATACCAAATTCCACATAATTCCTAATTTAATTGTGTCTGTAAAAAAATGATTCGAATGTGATGCCATATACATCGGACAAAGCTCATGAGAAATCAGAACAAATGGACACTGTAGAGACGCCTCTATCCGACTACCAAGAAATTCAGTTCTGAACTAGAAAAGCTTGAAAAATCATCAGCCTTAGGTCTTCACTCTGCAGTCAAATCAGGCCAGAAAATTGATTTCGATAATATTGTAATGATGAAGAAAGATTTCAGAACTCACTTTGTATTAAATAAATTCCGAATTGTCTGAACAGGAGTAATGGACTAAGACAGATTTCGGAGTGGTTCCACAACACACCTCTCTGTATGAAATGACGAAATCAACATAGATGGGATAAGCAGTGCGATTATGCACACACATGTTGCTTTTATAATTTTATTCACTTATCAAATCTAACAATCTACACCTGGTTCTGTTGTCTTTACCATCTGACCAACTTGACAACAACATAAAAATTAACTCATAGAGAAGAACGACGATTAGGTTGTTGTATGCATAAACTGAAATTTAGCAAATTCTGCTTTTAATAAAACTTTGATAAGGCTATCAGCAGCATTAAATAGAGAAACATCAGTAAAAAACAATATCGCTTTTTTTAATCACTCGTAAATATAAAATAAATTAGTGGCCTATTCGAATCTCTGGACTAACTGAATTTCCATCCGAGACAACGCATCTCATTTTCTTTAGTTCTTGCTGTAATAATCATTCAGTTTTATCCGTGGGTGGCAAAATGTACTTATGCTTACCTTTTAACTGGTTTGCAGTCTATCGTGGAGCATTTCTGTGCGATCAAAGAAAATTACCGTATTGGATTATTGTATTCTTAACATTTAAAATCAATGCGTCACATAATATACTGGAGATGGCTGTTTTGCTTGAAAATCCTGGATGAAGTAGTATTTATTATGCAATAAACCAAACGATTAAAAGTGTGCATAATAAAGCTGTTATTATTATTAAAAACTTTTCGCAGAATTTGCACCCGGGATACCATAGAAGACGAACTGCACAATCTCAGGAGAATCCTCGTCGAGAATTGTTATCCAGAACGATTTATTGCAAAACCCATGAATCCTAGTCTGCAAAAGCCGCCCACGCTTAGCGTCTCGAAATAACTTCTCTACATGAACCTTCAATTCAGTGTAGATTTATCTGTGAAAACACTGAAAAATCGACTGTCGCGCTCACTTAAGATAACCTTCTTCGCAACTGAACTACGACCAACCTTCTCCACAAAACCCATGATTCCTGTGAACGTGAAGGATAAGC